AAAAAGAAAAAAAAATCCATCATGGTTGACAAGTAGAGCTCCTGGAGGCTCCTTTAAAACCCACCAGGAGGCAAGTCTACCTTCTGGAGCACTGGATGAGTCCTAATGGCTCTCCAGTAAACTTCAGAAAGGCCTAGATTCTGTGAAAGACATCTGACTCATTGCAGGCTGGTGCGAGGGCCCAAGGGTGGCTGCAGAGCCAGCAAGCTCCTTGGAGACGCATGAAAAAAACAAGTTTATATTGTTCTAGCAGGACTTCAAATTCATCAGTCAAGAATTGACATGAGAGGTAGGTGTGAAAAGAGGAAGTGTTACAGTTCTCCCTTCTAAAGTGCCTCACACCTGCCTCAAGAAAAGATTGGGCCTTAAGTGCCCCTTGGAAAACAACTGGGCAGGGATCAAGTTCATGAACCAGGACTCCGAACTTTCCCCAGGCCCCAGGCTAAGACCCATTTCCCTCTGTCTTAGGGAAATATTTCTGACCTGTGGGAAAGGGTGCTGTAGAACCCACTACATAACAGAGGCAGAATGAGACAAAGTCCCTTGTGAGGAAACAAAGTTCCTTCCCTTAGAGAGCCCAGAGGGCTCTAAGACAAATTACTTACAGGTGAAGCTCTTTAAATGTTCTGAGTCACAGCATTGAGAATGGGAGGAAGGGGGGCAGTCAACATCATAATATATACATATATACATAAAGTTTCCAACTTCTCAGCTACTGTAGTGTCCAACAGTGAGGTAATGGTCCATGTTGGTCAAGTCTCTGGTCAAGTTTGTCTTCACCCAAGACAGCTGTGTGTCTCCTAGGGAAAAAAGGAGTTGCAGGGAGACCGTCCACACCCAGCTGTCCTTGAATCACCCCAGAGACACCAGTAGGAGCATCCTTTCCCATTCTAAAGTTCATGCAGGGTATGAGATTTCCTGCAGGCTGGAGCCCCCAACAACATCCACCACCTGTTGCATAGCATCTGTCAACATTTTCTTTGGAGATAGTGAGCCAGGCAGACCCCAAGTTTCCTCACTCAACTGCCTGCTGAGAAGCCAAAGGTGCCAGAAAACACAAGGCACTCCCATGAGTCAGGGAAGAGAGAGAGCTGGGTTTCAAGGTTTCCAAGAACGCAAGCCTTTATATTGTATGTGCACGGGCTGTAACGCATTCTGCAATCTACTGTCCAGAGTGTCTTGCTGTAACAAAAATGTACAAATTACTAAAGGGGAGAGGAAGGTTCAAAAGAAAACTTGTGTCTTTTTAAAATAGAACAGTCAGGCTTTTTGGTCAGTGAGGTACTCAATTCTTTTCTGCAATTGCCGTTGCTGGCGTTTGAGCTGCCTTTTCTCCATGGCCATCCTTTCTTCAGCCCCTATCAGTTCTTGTAAGTATTCTGCGGCCTTGACTAGGATCATTACTTTGGAAACCCTAGAGCAGCTGGCCAGGGCGGGTATCTCGTTCCTCAGGGCCGAGAACCGTGAACGCTGATCATTCCGCCTCTTGCGCTCCAGGAAGGTGTGGTTCTTCTTCTTGGTCTCATCCTCAGTATCACAACGGATGAGTTTGGGCTGGCAGGGCTGGGCAGCCTCACTTTCTACAGGCGGGAGACTCACAATCTCTTCATACTCCTTATCATTTCCCCCTGGAGCTTCTCGTTCTAGAGCCTCTTTTGGGGGAACCCTTTCTGGAGCCCCTTCTTGGGAGCAGCTTTCTGGAGGAAAGGGAGCAGCATAGTTGTGCTGTTGTTGGTGGATGGAGATGTGGAAGAGATTCATGCAGGGATCCAGAAAGTCTGCACGCACCGCGATGGTGACCAGCTTCCGCATACTCAAAGACTGCCTTTTTACTGTCACGTCGATTTCTTCACCCTCGGAGTCGCTTGGGCTCTCGAACTTGGAGCAGGCCTCGATCTCGGCCTCGCCCAGCAAACACGGGGAGGTGAGCGCTAGGCTGCCGGCTTCGAGTTCGGGAGTGTAGTCGAAGGTGGCGCACTCCTTGGGCGAGTTCCCCGAGGGCGCGCCAACGGTAAGCAGGTCACCCGCCACTCTCTCCAGCGGCTCCTGGGCCGAGAAGCTGCTCCACATGCAGTCACTGCGGATGAGGGGGGCGTAGTTCGCGTCCCAAGCTTTCAAATACCCCTGGGATTCCGTCTCGTCCCCAGCGCACCCTACCAGCCACGGTTCCAGGGGACCAAAGGCGGGGGCCGGATCCCCGGCGGCGGGACCCAAGTCCCTGGACGGCGGCACCAACTCGAATTTCTTCCAGATGTCCTCACTGGGCGTCGTGGAGAGGTAGAAATCCTCCCCGCAGTCATAGTCGTAAAAATAGTGCTGGTACGAGTCGCTGCTCATGTTGGCTTGCATGCTCACGCCGCTTGCTACCTGGAGCAAACTGGTTCCCCTCCGGTTGGGGGCAGCAGGGCACTCCGCACAGGCGCACAACGCGCCACCGAGGGCGCACCCCTCCCTCTATATTTCTAAGAGGCTTACAAATTATAGCTCTTATATGTAGGTATTTCGTTCATTTTGAATTAATTTTTTTATATGGCGTGAGGTAAGGGCCTTGCTTCGTTCTTTTGCATGTGAATATCCACCTACTCCAGCACCATTTGTTGAAGAGGCTATTCTTTTCCAATTGCATGGTCTTGACACCTGTTTGAAAATCAATTGATTTTAGATGTATGGGTTTCTGCTGGACTCTCTATTCTATTCTATTGATCTATATGTCTATCCTCATGCCAGTACCACATTGTTTTGATTAGTGTGGTTTGTAGTCGGTTTTGAAATTGGGAAGTGCTAGTCCTCCGCGGCGCCCAGCTGTTTTGTTTGTTTGTTTTGTTTTGTTTTTTTGAGACAGAGTCTCGCTTTGAAGACAGGCTGGAGTGCAGTGGCGCGATCTCGGCTCACTGCAGCCTCCGCCTCAAGTTCAAGCTCACTCCGGTTCAAGTGAGTCTCCTGCCTCAGCCTTCCAAGTAGCTGGGACTACAGGTGTGTGCCACCAC